TTTGTTATCACGACGAAAATTTCCGACTTTTATTTATATAAATACGCCAACTTTCGAAAAAAATTCTCATCAGTGGCTTAAGATTCGCATTGATTTTAGAGAGATTTTTTGCTGACGGTGTGACGCATTTTATACCCACACAAAGTATTAGCATGTTCGATTTTTTTTTTTTAATTATGGGAGAAAATGAAATTTTGATAATTTTTTTATTATAATTCTGTTACAAGGTTCAAAACTTTGATGCCCGGGGCACATATTGTTCAGCAAATTTGTCATTTTAAATTTGAACAGTCTAATAACTTTTAGAATTAATTGGTGAAACCGGCCATGAGTTACTTGGTTTTCATTATGGTATCAACTAAATTTTTGCGAAAAAATTAATTAAAAATAAACAACGAAAAAACATACCGTAAAGCCTTGTAAAGATGCAGTGTCCCCAATTATGTGCTCATCACTTTATGTATGCATATACAATCGTGCAAGAATCGTTGGATCATGTGCTACATTTGTGCCATATTGGAGTACTCACAAAAAATACTCCTCTGTAATGCAGTTATTTTTGGAGTACTTCTTGAACTTTTGGGGGGTATTCTTTACATAGGTTCATGGATTACCTTCACACAAATGCATAGCCTCGTTCAGTTTCAGGGGCTCGTACGCATAACATAAACACCTGTAACGCTATTATTATATGTAATTTAATTGCTTGATTGCATATGTAAGTATGTTTTTTTATGATTATATGCATATTTGCTTGCACAACTTTATATGCAAATGCACCACCTTGTATGTATACATATGTATGTATGTCCATTGCTTATCACCTGCCATGCTCTTGTGTCACTTTCATTTCTTCTCCCGAACTCTTTGGCCAGACTTATCTATGCAAATACTTAAAAATGCGGTGACCCGAAACACACCGAATTCTATATAGTCGTGTCTAAAATAACAAAAATTTATTACTAACCCAAATGGCTTAAAAAAGCCTTGCTGTTGTATTGGTGGTGGTGTTGGTGCTCTTGTTGCTTACTTAAAGCATTCCATCACTTGCTGACATACGTGTCACACTGACGTACCGGGGCTAAATAAGTTGTGTGCGCGCCTGTTTGTGTGCAAATCTATGGATGGGGACATTTTCGTGCCGATACAATTTCTACACTTTCATCTCTATTGCCATTTTTTGGTATTTGAAAAATTCCCAAGAATTTATGTATTTCTTTTCACCTTACCAGCTTTTTTTTCGTTTGTTGGTATCCGTCTCCTTGCTGTTGCAAGCTCACGTTTTACCTTCATGTAGTGCCATTACTAACACATACACTTAAGTACATGTTTTCTTTTTTTTTTGCATATTGCTACTTGCTTTCAAGCAATATTGAATCTTTTTTCTTTTATTAATTTTTTATTTGCATTTCATATTAGACTTTTTTCTACGTACTACTTGTAATTTCTGTGTATTTGGTGCTTCAAGTACGTTTCCAGGGTTACACCAGCTTACAACGTGCAAATTGCAGATTACTTGTACGTACATATGTACACGTTACTGTGAAATGAAATTGCTCAGAATTGAATATTCAAAAGGAGGTGGGTGTTTACCAGGAAGAATATGCGGCGAATATTTTAAAAGAAATACAAAGTTGAATAATTTAGATATTCCTTGGATGCGAAGCTGTGTGTGACTAAAGTGGGCAGGATTTTCTGAAACAGAAGCAGATTAAACTGAAACTTTTTGTATTCATAGATTTAATAATTGAAATCGAAACAATTAGAAAACCTAAAAGTGGAAGAGATTCAAATTTAATTAATTACACTGATGGGAAAATCTCAAAATTTTAAATATCACATAGAACGCAGAGACACGTAAATTTCGTTTTGACGTACTGCTTTTCTCTATCAAATAATTTTTAGTTAAGCTGTTAATGAAGAAAATCGATGAAATAATAAAGTTGTGAATGGCGAAATGAAAGTGGGTAATGATTTTTTTGTATGAAATATGAGCAGTAGAATGTTATTCATACGCCATCTACGAGTATGGTCATTGCGCTTTTTATTTCACCATTCCATTATGGTCTCAATGCCGGTGTTTCTGGTCAAAATTATTACTTTTGCATGTGTTAAAATCACTCTTAATCAACCTGCCTTAATATGAGTAAACGATTTCTCTCAGTTTAAGGAAAACACAATTTCGCCCATGAAAGAAATAAGTATGTCATTTTGCTCGCGGCGCTCAAACAGTGGCAATGGCCGACAGGGAAAAGCTCTGGAGTGCTAGTCGAGAGATACAAGGTTCGAGTCCCAGAGCAGGAAATTTTTTTAAATATATTTTTTTTTTAATGTATTTAAAAAATCACATTTATTTAATTTATTTTTTTATGTTATTTGAGTATATAGGTTTTTCCATATATGAAATTAATTTTACAAATTTGTAATTTATATTTAAATTGAAATAATTGACTTACCTTACTCTAACCACCTCCAACCGGATTCGAACCTGCGATGATAGAACATAAAGCAGTAGTATTCACGCGACGCCACAGCCGACATTTGCCAGGAAAGCAATTTACTTTGTATTTAAGGAAAATTATTACTTATATTTATTAAATTTACTTCTTCAAATTAATGACGCCCCATTTTTAAATTTAGGAAAAATATCTGAAATTGAGTTAGTTTTTCGTAATATTTAGGCAAAAACAGTAACTCGAAAATGAGGATACTGTTTTCTTGATTTAAGGTAATGCTGTTTTCTTAGTGTAGCAAACAATCAGGAGTACTGAAATGTTACCAACATGTGTAAATTTAAAGGAAGCGCTAAGAGCTCTCAAAAATTCTCGATCCTTAAAAGTGTCGATACCGAAGAGCTCGATCCTCCTATCTGTAGGGAACTATTTAACATTTGCAGTTGAAAGCTCAACATAGAGAGAAAACTTTTATCTTTCAGTAGGAAAATTAATTTAAATTAGTATAATTTGGCAAAACTTTTCAAAAATTTGCACTCTCCAAATGGGTCTTATAATTAATTGGATATTTTTTCTTTCATACGAATAGTAAAAAGGCTGCATTCAAACTTTTTTAATAAAGCTGCAAATAAAAAAGTGACCCTTTGAGTCCCCTCGGTCGTCAAAAACGCCTTATCTCAAATGTAAATATGCTGAGATGGCGAGTTTTTGAATCGGCCGCTGAGATAGGGCGTTTTTAGAACCGCATTCTGAGAGGGGGTATTCTTCAATCAAATTCTGAAGTAGTGCATTCACAACTTCACTTATCAATAGATTTGCTTTGTCAGTAGCTTGATGTTTTTGTGAAGGAGTAGGCTTTATTAAACAAAAAAATAGAATATTCACAAGAATTGATAACCTCCTCCTTTTTTTGAAGTCGGTTAATAAGAAATTTTTAAGCAAAAAACAAAACCGATTTCAAATCTCATATATAAATTCAGGAAATCGTTAATTTATTCATAATTCTATGATCGTATCTAAATCATCGGTTAACGTGGTCCAAAATTATGCGGTAACATACATAAACCAATTATAAAATATCTATTATTTTTTTAATTTTTTTTATTTATTTTTTATCTTTTAATTCTGCCGAGGGGCGACCGCTGTTAAGGAAAAGTCTTTTTTCTATATTTTTTTGCGATGTTGCTTTGACAAGGGCTTGAAGCCAGGTCCTGCGGAGTGGAAGCGCGCAATGCTTACCATTACATCACATTACACTTGTATACCCGATATATTAATATGGCTTCCTAACAAAAAAAAGTTTAAGAAAACCTTATTTTAAAAATTTGTGGGGAAGTTTGTCACCTCGTTAAAACGTAGAATAGAGATAATAGGGTAAATGAAATATTTTTAGATGGGTGTTAAATAGGGTGGTTGACTCGGTTTTTCCAAACCGGTTGCCACAAGTTTTTTTTTTTTTGATATGCATAGATGGTTTTCTTCGGATTTGGAGTAAACCGTATTTTTATCGAACAAACCGGGTTTTTTCATGTCATGCAATTCCGGACTTCTCAATGGGTAGCCAATTAATAGTTCCAAAATTATATCCTAGATTATTTAGGGATGAACAGAGTATATCATGTTTGATTCCAATAAATGAATTTTTGACGCTTAAACATTTTCTACGTTTCCGACGGAGCTTTTCTTCCAATTCGTGTTCTGCTTCTGGATGTTGCGATCCAAGTGAAGACACCTACATGGTAACTCCACCTGCTAAGAGCATTTTGAATGGCAGAAGCACACTCGCAGGTTTGGCAAATGTCCTCCGTGGCGCAACCGCTAGGCACATCTAAGCACGCACCACGTACACAGTTGACTGACGAGTCAGAGCCACTGCCTTTGGTGCCTATAACAATCGAAAATAATTGACAAAGCTATTAATTAATATATTTTGATGGGTGTGGAAATTTCAATAAATATGTGTTGGTATCATGTGAAGAAATAATTAACCAAAATCAGAAAAAAAATTCATGCAATTCAAATTTGTGTATTTTTGTATCAAAACTAGCATGGTACAATATACATATATAATTTCATATTTATTTTCCCACTTATTTGAAAAATAAGACCAAACATGAATTTTTCACTGATGTTTGTTTGTTTTACTCCTTATCTAAAAATAACGTACTTTGCTTTTCTCTTTTCTAAATAAAAGCAATTTTTACTGTTAATAGTTTTATTTTCACTGTACGAAAACTAATCGGGAACCGGCTTTTAAGTTGTAAGTATTTGTTTTGGAACTAAGATAATAAATTCCACTATTAAAACACCATCAAATAACATTTATTTTTCCTAACACAAAATCGACCCAGCCTAATGTACTTAATATATAGGTTATGTTTTTACTTGCACATTTTGTTGTATATTTTATTTGCATTTGATTTAAAATTTAAATTATGTATGAAGTACATACGCGTATTTGAAGCACATATGTACGTACGTACGTGTGTTCTGGTTTTATTTCATTTCACAGCGTTTTTTTTCTCGTTTTCATTGTCTATCTTTCAGATTTCCATCGAATATCCTGTCTTTTTGTGACTGACATCAGCGTACCGGAAATTGTAGATTTTCGCGATAATGTCACGCTATCCTGTAGTTATGATATGAGCGGACATACGCTGAATTCTGTGAAATGGTACAAGGATAAAATGGAATTTTTCAGGTAAGTTACAGTTGCACACGCAAACGAATTGCATGCGGATTTTAAATACGTCTATGAAGTGATTGAAATCAGCATAAAAAGCGCACTCAGTTCTGCTGAAATTGTGTTAAACTTCGGCGCAATTTTTGTTTTTTTTTTTGCTATTCGCAAACTCGAGCGTTGGCCATGTTGTATACTTAACCTGAAATTTAACCTGAAATTTCGCAATGCATTTATTACGAAATCAGAGGAAACTATTTATGTGCTTGTGAAAGTCGAATGTAAACAAAACATCGGCTATACAGCATTCGCAGATGTGTCTCTACATATTTACTCAACGCACGTATGTATGTAAGTAGCGTCAATAATTTGCAGCTTTTTGTGCAACAATTTGTATGCGCCAAAATTGCAAACCTTTTGCAGGCCCCAGTCAGTCGGAAATCATTTCTACAACACAGAGTTAACGTGAAATGTTAAATTGAATGAAAGAATTAATTGCGGCATGCAGACTACGAAATGCCTGTGGCAAACCGACAACAACAACAAGTATGCAAACAAAACAAGCTCATAGCAAAGCAGTGGCAGGGGGTGTGGGAAAAAGAGCACAGCATGAATGGAATGCCTATCTATCTATCTATCTTTATAGGTAGTGGTTAGAGGATGATATGTGCGCATTATTTTTGTTTCCACCGCTTCTACTTCACACACAAAATTTCCAATTATAATTTGTTGCAGATTTTGGCATGTGCGCTGCCCAGCAGCTAGCTGCTGCCGATTTTGCGCTATACGCTTAACTGCACAAACATAAGCTTACCATATTTCGTTGTACACATACGGGCATAAATTTTGAATTGTCATTCGGAGACCGCGTTTGACATGGAAATCTCAATCTGGTTGATATTTTTCAGCTATTTCGCTTTTACTTGCAACAACTGCATTCGAGTCAATGCATTTTTGTATTCATTTGAAACTTAAGAATACACAAACCCCGTACATAAGAGCGCTCACCTCGAGAGTTGGTACAGTTGGTGAATGTTCCTCGCAGAATGCCGTTTATGGCGTATCAGGTGGTTGTTCGATTTAGATATTACCTTCAGGCGTGTCTGAGAAGAGGCGCCGTTTCCAGAAAATTTATATTCAGGTGCTCTCTATGGTAGTATTCATTACAGAAAATAATGATTGTTCGCTGATGAGGACCATTGCTTTAGATACTCCACGCTCTACTTTTTCCAAGCCAAAATTTATCTGGCAGAAGGTCAGCTTAACACTGGAACATTCGAATGGCCACTAAAACCAAATGATGCCGGCAGTTATGGATTCGGCAGCAAAAATGGCTGATTACGCTTTCCGCACTTATGCATGTTTGCATCTTGGGGCCAAAATAAATTAACGGATATATCGGTAAACTATTTTAGTGGCAATAATGAAGCCTTATGCAGCAGAACTCTGGAACTGGCTATCGAACAAAAAATGACACTGAGGATGGCACAGCGCCGAAACCGGTTTGTCTCCAAACCAACTTTGACAAGGGATGACGGAAAATCGTAATTTATACGTAATTTTTATAAATAATGAAAATGTTAAAATTTTTTTCTGAACTGTTATTAAAAATGCGCTCACAAATGCTATCACTGGTCATTAAAAATATCATCTTATAATAATAATACTACCAAGTATATACATAGGTATACTTAACAACTTCACGTTTCACTTTACGCAGGTATTCGCCAATGATGCATCCAGTGTATATGAAATTTCCCGTCACTGGCATCCAAGTGCAGGATGGAAAATATTTCTGTAATGAATCTACCTGCCGCGTTGAGCTGAGTCTTCTAGGCGCCAAATCGACTGGAGCGTACAAATGCGAGGTTTCTGGTGATGCGCCACACTTCCAATTGGCGGCGAAGGCTGACAATATGACTGTGGCAGGTAAGCAAACACCTACACACACACACAAAAAGCTAACATTACATACATAAATACTCGCACAAAACAATAAGAAAAAAAACACTAAAAAAATTTACCATCCATCTAACGACAGAAAATATGAAAGTAGCAAAATCAGGGCGAAAAATCATGCAAGGAATTCGATGAAGCCATCGAGCTGTAGATTTTTCAGTCGCTAAGAAGTCTTAGATGCACTTTTACGAAATCCACTTCTGCACGCACTGCTACTCAACGCAAAATTGCTACATAAAAATTTATGTTTTTTTTCTCGTTTGCACGCATTTACAGCGCTACCTCAGAGTGACCCATTGATCGATAGTTTCAATTCAATGTATCGCATGGAGGAATTGCTCAGCGCAACCTGCACCTCGGACTATTCGAGTTTGCCGACGCGGCTGACATGGTACATAAATGGCGAGCAGGTGAGTGCGAGGGTGCAGATGGAGGGTATTCAACAAGTAGACAAAAGCACGCAAGCGATTTAGTTGTTAAATGGGGTGCAACATGGAGAACGCGTAGTTTAATGCTCTTTTTATATAGAAATTATTGTTATTACATTTCATATCTTCTTAGCAAAGTTTTTTCTGTTTTCTTTAGCGCTTATTAAAGTTTGTATCTTATATTTATTTGCCCCTAAACAGGCTTCTCTGGGCGAACTACAGCCCAGCATTGATACCAGCATACCGGCGCACGATTATATTCTGCGTCGTCAAAAGCTGCAGGTGCGCTTTTATTTGAGTGGTCCACGCTTCTATCATGCAGGAAAAATTCTGGAATTGAAGTGTGTGGCGGAAATTGAAAATTTCCCGGAACTGAAGCGTGAAACCTCGCTGAATGCAGCACTCATACACTATGACAATTTGAACAATCAGATGCTGATACATGCGGGCAGCGGAGCGAATGGTGCTGCGAGCGGTAAGTAGCTTACCAAGCGGATGTATGAAGTTTATGAAAGTGATTTTAAGGAAATGCAATTGAATACTTTTGTGACAGACAGTTGGCTGTTTGTAACATGCATGTATATGAAAATTGAAAGTTCATACGTATGGTATAAAAAAATAAATTGAAAATATTTGTGTGATTGCCTTCTTTCCTGAAAAGTAGCTTTTATACCTAAATCTTGGGGGTTCACCTTGGTATGTAGTAGTTAATTATACAACGACCTCTTTTACACTGCTGTAGAAAATTTAAATCCAAAACCGTACCAAAAACAATCTAACCCTTACTACGTGTGGGAGGGTTGCCACATGCTTAAAAACTGTAATTCAGTTTTAATTAAAAGAATTTAGTAAATGAATAAGGTATCACTATATGGGTGCCAGATAAAGGAGGTTTAATAAGGTAGTAGTTTGAAAATATTTTGAAGAGGGTTGCCACCTATTTTAGAAATCAAACTAAATATCTTATACCCAAGTTATATGAAATATTAAAAAATATATGTCAAATGAAAGAGACTTAAGAAATATTTAGTTTAACAATTTAGAATATTTTTGATGTGTTTGTGGATTATCCCAGTTTAAAAGGTTAAACTAAAATTATCTAATAAATTAAATTAATTACTAAACGATGCTTATCAGTGGAAATGGGTTTAAAATCCCTTATTTCAAAACTGTATTTTAAGAGGGTTGCCACCTGTTTGAAAAGTCGAGTTTAGCTTAATTATGAATATGTTATATGAAATTTTAAAATATGGATATCAAACGAACGAGTGAGAATTTAAAATTTTTAAAGGCGTCAGCAGAGGGCGGCAACCTGTTGAAAAAATGCAATTCAAATTATTTAATATGTTAAATGGGTTTTCAAAAGATGGGTATCAATCGAAATGGGTTTGAAAATGGTTTATTTCTGAATTGTATTTAGGAGAGTTTCCATGTGCTTTAAAAAATAAAAATCAACTTAATTCAATATTAATTGAAATATGTATAACAATGCCAGGCGAAAAATTTTAGTTTGAAAATACTTTTAAAGGGTTTGCCATCTGTTCGAAAAGTCGAATTCGTCTTACTTATACACAACGTACATAAATGAAATATCGAAATATTAGTGTCAAGTGAAAAGGTTTTCAGACAACTTTATGCTGATAAGATTTTCTATTAGGGTTGCCATCAATTTTTTTTTTTTTTTTGAAGGTCCAAATGAGAAGTCACATTAAAGAACTGGTATCCTACATAGACGTGCAAAAAGATTTTATTTTTGGAAGTTAGAACTTTTTAACGGCACAGGGATGAAATGAAATTTCATGAAATAAAAACCGACGCCATGCGAGATGTCTATCACTCAGAAATGGTTTAGATGAATCATTAGGAATATTTTTGGAGGTTTTTGAATAGGGTTTCACCTGTTTAAAAAATGTAATTCAATTTTGGCATTTTAACGACATACGGGTTCACTAATTTTTTTAATATTCTTTGTACAAATTAGAAAACATGGATATATATATGTATATGGTTTTTATCATAGAATGAACTACATACATATATAAATAAAAGTAAGAACAATTTTTCTATGAAACAGACAAATAGATGGTAAAAACTCATTAATATGTGGACGTCGTATAGTTATTACCAACACTGTAGTATTCATGCTCGTCGCAATGTGGCAACATAGATTTGCATACTGCATATAGCGCTTCAATAGTTAAAAAACGAGTGATAAATCCAGTCAAATTTAGCCTTTTTCACTCATTTATTCCAAGTCAATAGTTTGACTAAACTATGACTTTATTAAAAGTTCTTATATTCCTTACTTGAAATTCCATTTTAATAGCAATCCTTTTTTCCTATTACATTCTTTCAATGATGCAGCCCTTACTCATCACAACACCCGCAAAGATATTTCCATTCGTTTTGTGATATGTTTACTACTCATCAGCGTGCTGCCAATCTTATGATCTGCCTGCGATGCGGTGGCTAACTACCAAATAGAGCAAAGCAACATGAAGCAGCAAGGGCAGATGGCAAAGCCGGTTAGAGCTGTGGCAGTTTGGCAAATGGGCAAAGCGTCGCAGACGAGAGCCACAAAAGCAACTACTATATCACATTAGTTAGTTAGAGGTAACCAATTATGATGTAAATAAAAGAAAACGAATATTATTACTTAAATATATAACGAAAAAAAAACAACAAAAACCAAATTAAAGATATTAAGCTTAAAATTTAAATTAATAATATAGCAGAAGTAAGAAAGAAAAATAAAATAAAAGTATATACATATATACATAAAAAATCACCAGAACAGAGCTTTGCTCGCGTATATATGTATGTATGTTTGTACATTCGTAAAATAATTTAAATTAAATATGTAAGTACCCGTACATGGCAAAGTAGTAAAAAGCGATGTTCTGTGTAATTATTATTTGTATGAAAGAAGAAACTTCACCATTCGCTAATAATTGCAGCACAATTACCAGTTTTGTGTCATAAAACCAATTGAGTTGGCAGGGAAATCAAATGAAATTTTCGCTGGCTGGTAACTTCAAAATGAAAATTAAATTTCAGGACGATTAGTTACTCATACGCATGGGCGTACTTAAAGTACACAAACGCGGGGTTAGTCTTATACATATATTTAGCATTATTCTTTATTTAAATAAAGTTTTAAGGTATTATGCCTTTATTTAAAAAAGAAATAAATAAAAAATTAGGCAATGCTATATATTCAGGTAAGACGTCACTAAGTTATGAAACGTTATCACTAATAACTAACCAAAAATTTAATCATCTCAACATAACTCTTCACTTAATTTGAATTGCGTAAATTTACAAATAAATATGCACACCACATACTAGGGAGATTTGTTTTGCGACTATTGTTTGTTGTTTTCACTTCTACCTAGAAATTTTGTGGAAAATATCTTGCGAAAAAAACTCGCTAAAAATTTGAATACATGTTGATCAACGAGAAATATCGATATTAGCGCTTTGATGGTCTGTAACTTTTTTGTAGAAAATATAAATTTGTCATTTACATTTTTTCTGTACCTATTGTTATTTAGGGGCTTTGGTGACCCGTACTAGCTCGTTGGTGGGAGTTTAGAGTTTTGAAAAAAAAAATTAATCAAAGTTTACGTGTATTTTATATGGGAAATCTTTGCACGCCTCGGGCGAGCATTTAGTGTTAATATTAAGGGTTCAAGTTTTTAGGGTGTTTCCACAAAATTTCGAGGTAGGAGTGAAAAAAAAACAATAGACGCAAAAAACACCCTAAACGTACACACAAATAATGTAAATATACATATATATATTTTTGTAAAGGCAATAAATGTTTTTTATGAGAAAAAATTCTACATATATTCCCGGCTCACAAAGAAAAGCGATCTTAAACTATATATATATGTACATTTTTAATTTTCTATCTTATTGCTGTTATTTTTCAGTAACTCTTTTATTGTTTTGAGTTAACCGTCACCCAATGTTAGGAAGAAATTTCACCCGCTTTGAATTTAATGATACTGTAACTTCTTTATCGACTGCTGAGTGAAAGATCGACGCATCTCCGCAGCCAGTTCGAAAACGCCTTATCTCGAAAAAAAATTTCTGGAACGTCCTATTTCAGAATTTTATTGAGGAACACCCTATCTCACTTCAATATGTATTGAAAATGTGTTGATTGTGCTTTTGAATTGGCAGCTGAGATAGGCTGTTTTTTAATCGATAGGGTGTTCTTCAACCAAATTCTGAAATACCACGTTACATCCCGTAGGGGATTTTCGATGCCGACACTTAGTTTGGTGGCATATTCTTCCAAAATGTAAGGACAAATTATTTACTTCTTAAATTTATTATTTTTATATGTAGGAACTTAAATTGCATTTTATAGTTACATTTATCGATATTGTAGTTATCTACATTTTGTTCTATATTTGTCTTATCGATATCGATATAACCATATTAGAATGCTTATCGACTTGTCTATATACAAACGATTACTTTTAACTTTGGTTAATTTTGACATTAAATAATTTAAGATATGGCAACAGCAAATTCGTACCACAAATTGGCTGGCATTTTCTTAGCGCAGGAGGTATTCGGCTCTGTTTTCCTCGAAAGTTTACTTAAGGGAAAACAACAATCCGTTGACTACCCCTCGAGCTGATGCATATCGGTGAAAAATGAGTTGAATTAATTAATTCATTAATTTTTCTCTGAACTTTTTTCCATCGGCCAAAGACACCAATTTTATTTTAGTTATGGAATTAAAAAAAAAAAGTTTATTTTTTCAAATAAGTATAATAAATTGAGTAAAATACATTCTTAGTATTATTATTTTATATTTTAAACTTCGCGTATTTTATTGTTACTTGAAGTTAAAGATTCTAAAATTTTCGACATATTTAAGGAAGCAAAATTAAAAACAAAACAAAAAAATTGTCAACTCGTTTCATGACTACCCAAAGTTAGGCTTCAAAACAAAATTATATTTACGTACATACTTTATTCTGCACAAAATGATATTTGCAAAATATTTCTTAACAAACTAACAGTTAAAATTGTATTCACTCACAAAAACACACATTTAAAATATAAATGTAAAAAAATAAATTAAATAATCATTTTGCACCAGTAATTTATAGGTTCCAAAACAAAGTTGAAGAAAATAAAAAAAAATTCGAGCACAAAAACTGCGTTCGGTGAAGCATTTTGAAACTTAAAATGTGCGTGTGCTGGAATAAAAAAATTCAATTTGTGTTGGCTCTCCTTCAGTACATATCGCTCATTTATTTCAATATTGTCATAATCCAAAAATTAAAAATATTGAGTTAAGTACGCAGAAATGACCGCTACTTATTCTTCTATGTCGTGAAAAAAAATCCATACATGTATCGATTACCGGTAGCCCACTATTCTATGGGAATATATGTATGTACATTCAAATATTTAATGCCGTTTTTCTCGAGTTTATTTTTCTTGAGTCATGGCACTATTGAAGTAAATGAGCTATATGTATCTACATATGTGTGTGAACATGCATGTGTATTTATATGAATGTATGTATGTACATTAGGGCGTGTTGATTTGAATGGATGAAAAAAAATTAAAAATCGTATAGCAAAAACGTAATCTACATTAAATCCTAAGAAAATTCTCTGAAGAAATCATGGGTCTAAAATCAAACCCTAATTCGCGCCTCTCGACTTGAAAATTGTTTTCCTCTTCTTTCGCTAAAATTATTTTCTTTTTTTGAAATATATTATGTTTTATTATATTGTATTATAGTTTATGCAATACAGGTTTTGTTTTGAGACTAATCAAAATATTCAATTATCAAAAAAGCAGTTGAACCCCAATTTGCATCTCCTCTGATTTGCGTTCTATATAAAAAATAGTTCGAAAATTTTTTTTAATGAACAAAAATTTTGAGTGTAGAAAAAATATAAAGTGCAAAAGAACTACCTTACTAAACAGTTTTATTCAGAAAATTCGATTTCTTTTTGGAAAAACCTATTTTTTCTAACATTTATTTTTTTGGCAAAGATGGCCATATAAATTTTCAAGTCGAGAGGCGCGGATTAGGATTTTATTTTAGATACATGGTTTCTTCGGAGAATTTTCTTAGAATTTTATGTAGTTTACGTTTTTCCTATACGATTTAAAAAAAAAAAATCAACCCGCCCTAATGTACATACATGTGCACGTCGATGTATGTATTCTGAATGTGGAAACGTTTAAAAAATTTAAAATCGATGGAAATATTAATTCTTAGGTACTTAATTACTAATTATGTACATTGGTATCATGTTATTCTGAATAACATTTTTCCACTTCTCAACTGAAGCAAATTCTTAAACGAACAAAAAAAATAAAAAAACTTAAAGTGTATAATAAAAAAGTTACAAACGAGGAAACAAGTAAAATAAAAAATTTCAATCGCACACCTTAAAATTCACCATGACACTATTGTATAAACTTATACTAAAAATTTTAAAATATTAAACTAGAAATAAATTAGTTGTAAGTGAAAAATTTACAAAAATTATTATTTAAAAAATTGAAACCAAAACCTAAAAAAGACACACTCTACTAATGTTAACTGATGGCAATGGAATTTGGCAAAAAAACTTTAGGCAACCCCAAACTGAAAGCAAAGAAAAGACATGTAGCATTTGGTGCAATTAAACAAATATTTATGTAGATAAGAATATTTAGTATAGAATTGGAAAAAGTAATTTAAGAAGCAAGTCACATATTTAATAGCATAAGTAACGCAAAAACATCTGAAACTAAAAAACGAAAAATCACAACTAACAATACTTGTCACAGAACCTGGAACAAAATGCAAAAAATTAAAAATAAAACATATGTGAACTAAATACATTTTATTTTAAAGCGTCAAAAAGTACGTACATATATACAATACAGATCAATCACATAAACGAGTCGCAAAATAAGAGTTGAATCCTTGTAATAAAAAAAAACCATCATCAACAGCAAAAAAGTGAATAAAAACTAAAAGTAAATGCGTAGCTATAACTGAAAATGTTATTGGGCATTTATGATTGGAAAAAAAATTAAAATTCAAAAAAAATTCATATGTTTAAGCATTAGGGTATTGTTAAATGTTATTTTAGTTTAAATAAAAAAAAAAGAGTAATAATTTTTTAAGTTTGTTAATATTTTTTCGAAATGTAAAATATTTAAATATTAAGAAAACTGATGCAGTGACGAATAAATAAATGAAAAAAAAAAAAAAAAAACGATTTATTTCACTTATTTTCAGAGAGGAAAATAAGATTACTTATAGAAGCCGTACGGATTAGAGTTTTTTTTTCGCAGACAATGACGGTGCTGGGATTGAGGGCGAGGTCGTTACGACACAAAGAAATGGTGCCCCTATTCACCGTGCGATGCAAGCAAGCGCTGCCTCATATTATTAAAAGCCCCATCGATATCGAGGTGGGCTTCCACCGTAAAATCGTTGTGAATGAAGGCGTTTTTTATACAAAAAAAATTGCAGCATTTCCTACCGATCTTCCTTTACAATAAGCATGTTGAGCTCTTGATAGGCAATTTCGCTGCTTATGTGTAGGTCAACCAACCTCTTCAACGTTTTCAGCTTCCGGCTTCCGTTAAGGTAATTTTCTTTGGGGAAAGATCAGAAGGAAAGTAGGTATCTAGGAGCAGGCCAAATGACCC